CCCCAAAACCCCAAAACCCCAAAACCCCAAAACCCCAAAACCCCAAAACCCCTTAAGTAGCCAAAATATTGGATAAGAAGGAAATCTGGAATAATATTTGAATGGAAAATAATGATTACTTAGAGGGGGTTTGAAAGATAAGAGCCTCCAAGTCCCTACTGAAAAGAGGGAATGTTTTTAAATAGAGACTGCAGGTGCCCATTCCTGCTCAGGATGGAGTACGCCTCTGATAGACTTATCTTTGCACGAGAGTTCTCTTCTGAGATGCTTTCTTTTCTGTCTGTTCTTCCTTCGGAAGACTGGACAGTCTTGACATCATCTTTTCCCTCGTGATCTTCTCTTTCAGGAGTTTTAATGTCGTCCAGGTTCTCTTTTGGCTCAGCATCTCTAGTGACAGAGGTGCCTAATCCAACTGGAGAAAGAGGATTAGAAGAGCTCTGGTTTAGGTTAAATTGACTCATTATGTCAAAAAGAAGCTTTGAATTAGTTTGCTGCTGAAGGCCTTGGTGGAGATTCTCCTGAGGTCTAGCTGTATTCTCCTTGTTCATCAACAATTGGAGCAGCATTTGGTTTGAATTTGCCTGCTGCACAGGTAAATTAAAGCCCGAAAGGCTAGTAGTCTGGGAGTAGAACCATTTTTGGACTACCTTAGCAAATTCTTTTACAATGAATTTGATCAAAAGAAGGATATCTTGGTCGCTATATTTCTTCTCTTGATTAGAGTTGTCAGTATTTTGATGTAGGCTTAAGTTTTCGAGCGGATTTGAGATAAATTGCCCGTCAATCCCGCTTGGTTGTTCGATTTCCGCTTCCTGTGTAAATAGTTAGCCATATTGATCAACTCCCAGAATTTTAGAAGCATATCTGAAAAAGATATCAAAAGGAGGAAAAAGATCTGATTCCATCTATTTTAATATTTCTAAATTTCTAAAGCTGTATCTTGACTCAGATATGAGTCTAAGAGGCAAGAGCCTCCCTCCATAATCATGCTTACAGAAATTAATTTGAAATTATATCGAAGAATTAACTTTCAGAGAAAGATCTCAGTAGAGGTCTGTTAATTCAAAGAAACTAGGTTTATTAACAAAAGGTGGTGGCTAGGTTACCTACCTTGAAGATGTACTTGGTATCTCTCTTCTTAGCTCTTTCTCCAAGTATCTTCATTGTTTCTAGCTCCTCGTCTTTAATGTCATCACCTAGAAATGGAGTTAGGAGAAAAGATCCAATTTGGAAGATAAATATTACAAATTTTGAGAAGATCGCTTACCCTGTTTAGTTCTGGTCTGTTTGAGTTTATTAACTTTGCTGAACCATTTCTGAGCATGGCTTCTAATTTGGGCTCCGTTCCTGGTCTTCACAAGGGCTTCGATCTTCTTCCAGTCCTTTCCATACATTTTGAGACCTATAGAGGGATTAGGCGATGAGTAAAACACAATATCAGAGAGATCCTGATGTATAAATTTGTCCAATAAAATGAATTCTCTTGAGAACGTTTGAAATCTGACAACAGTAAGAAATTTTAAAAGTTCTTTGTAGCTCTGGTCCCTGATGCATGCTAATAGCCATCTTCCAGAGGTAGGTATATTGGGGATTATTTGTCTAATTAGGTTCTATTCTATGGCTATGTATTCCACCGTTAGAGCCACTGAACTCTCATGTAAAATTTGAATTTAGATATGAAAATCTTAAAAAGAATTGTTGGATCTGGGATCTTTCTCAAGAACTCAGACCTTTTTGTTTGAATACAAACAGGGGCTCTCATATAGAAACTCTAGAGGTGATAATAAGCTAGGGTTGTTACTTCGAAACATGCTCACCTATGTATCATTCAAATTTATTTAAATTTCAAAGAGCCTAAACGAGCGGATTTAAATTTCTTGGTGAATGAAACCAGAGCTTTCCAGAACCTCCCAGAAAATGCTTCCTGAAATGATTTTGTAAGAAGAAATGCAGGGAGAGTAGTATATCTTTGTCATAGGAATCCTGCTGGGATTCCACCGCTTTGTAATTCATAACTCGAAAATTCAAATTTAAATTAGGGAAGGACTTATAGTAGGAACAGACAAGAGGCTGCTCTTGGCAGAAACTTAGAGCTCTAATAGAAGTTTATGAATTATAACGGTCAATGATATAGCATCTTTTAAAGAATAAGTAGCCTCACCAGACTTCTGTCCTGTGTGGGCATTCCAAGCATGGTGATGCATGGGAGCCCCAAAATGACAACTCATCTCCACCTTAGTCAGGGAAAGTGATTTTAAATTTAAACTCTTTCATCAAATTTGAAGTGTGACTTAGCAGAATAGAATCTTGAAAGGAGTAATCTAATTGGGTGGTATAACGAAAACATTATTGTTTCATTTTAGGCGGCAACTAACCGAAATTTTTTGACCCACTTCAAGAAGGAGAGCCTCGGTCTCCTAACTCCGGAAATCAATAATGTATTTGTAAAAGATACTAAAAAACTTGATAATAAGAAATTCCTAAATTTTCCTTTCAATTTAATAGAAGTTGAGAATGAAGGATGATTCCTTCCTTAGATGCATGAATTTGTATATACAGAGCTTCAGGGCTTACCTCTGATGAAGTCTTCATGTTCAGATTTCTTCCATCTTCCTACTTCTTGGTTATCTCTCACTTTGCACTTGAAGTTGTGCTGTTTAGGAGAGTCTCCTGATCTTTCAGAGTCTGATGAAGGATGCATTTGCTCTAATTCTAATTTAATATTTTTAAATAAACCTGTGCTCTATTTATCTCGTTTCAAAGGGGTTTTGGGGTTTTGGGGTTTTGGGGTTTTGGGG